TGCTATGTTGTTCAGGCTGGCCTTGAGCGCACTGTGTCGCCCAGGCTGGCCTCAAATTTGAGGGGACTCTTCTGACTCAGCCTCAAGAGTGGTGGGATCATAGGCCTGTACCACACCCTGCTTCCATAACATACTGTTTTGAAAGAAATCACTCTTTGCATCCCACAGAGAGAGGTTAGCTTCCTCCCAGCTAAGCAGAACTCTCAGAGGGGCCAACACACTGCTACGGCCCTAATCTCTCAAGCTAGCCATCCTTCCTACCAGCCCTAAATTCTTCCTGTTTCTCACCAAAATGTTCTTGAGAAGCCACCTGGCTCTTGACTGCAGTGCATTAGGGTTCGCGTCCTGCAGTGTGAGACTCAGGCAGGCGGACCCAGTGCTGTACCAACACCTTGGACTGTACAACACTGCCTGGTTTCCAGTGTGTGCTCCCATCCACCTCGTTTGTACCCTGTGACTCCAGTCTCTACCAAAATTGCCCTGCTTTTGCTGATTAATGAAAGGCTGGAGCCAGGTGTGGTGGCACACGCCTGTAATCCCAGCACTCGGGAGGCTGAGGCAGGAGGATCACTATGAGTGCAAGGCCAGCCTGGGCTACAACTACATAGGAAGACCTTGGCTTTAAAAAAAAAAAAAAAAAAAAAAAGGCCGGGCTTTTGAATTAAGAGCTGGAGAATTATGGAGAGCTCGTGTTTGCCTTGATATGGAGGCAGGAGGCTGCACACAAAAGTATTTGTGTGTACACAGCAGGCATACAGATGTATTCCTTGCTCTGAAGCTGAGATGGTCTAGAAGTCAAAGACTGCAGGTAGCAACAAGGCACAAGCCTTCTTGTTTCGATTGAGACAAGGTCTCGCTATGTATTCCAGGCTGGCCTCCAAACTCGAAGTTCTCCTGCCTCAGCCTCCAGACCTGGCTCAAGTCTTGCTTTTTTCATACTGTACTCCAGCAAGCTGAGCTAAGAGCCCCTCACAGAAGTGGGTGATCCTGGAACTGGTGGCAGAAACAGAGGATGGGCCCACAGCACTGCAATGCTCACAAAGCGTATCAACAGCAGAGACGGGAGCATGGCAGAGGGCCCAGAGCCCAGTGGAAAGGGCCAAAAGAGCAGGCCCGAGTGAGGCCATAACCCAAGAGTGAAAGCATCCGTGAGCCTGTAATGGATCTAAATAAGTCACTGAATGGCCGGGCACAGTGGCGCACGCCTGTAATCCCAGCACTTGGGAAGCTGAGGCAGGAGGATTGCTGTGAGTTTGAGACCAGCCTGGGCTACATAGTGAGTTCCAGGGCAGTCTCAGCTACATAGTGAGACCATCTCAAAAAACCAAAAGAAAAAAAAAAAGCCACTGAATGAATGTGTGGAGGAGAGCGACAAATCTCCCCTGCAGAAGACTGTCAAATAATTTATGTGGGATATTTGTGGAGATGTTGCCTAACCCCCCAGGATTGGGGTTTAACCCAAAGCCTCTGTGCTAAGCTACATCCCCAGCCCTTTCTTTGGGAGACACCCTCTCACTAAGCCAGGGCTAGGCTCAAACAAGATACTCCTGTCTCAGCCTCCCAGGTGGTAAGGTAGTATAGTGTGAATGAAAATGGCTACAGTCTCCATTCTTTCAGAAAATATGTTTTGGGTGCTTACTGTAGCCACAAGGGGCTAAGTGCTAGGGCAAAATAATAAAGACATCTGTCCCAAAAAGGAGGCTAATTCATTAAGGGTGCTTCCCATGCACTGTGATTAACACACCAACAGCGTGTGTGCGAGGGTCATGGAGTCTCAGGACATAACAGTTACGTGATGTGGGAGGAGATATTCATTCCCCAAAGGTGATGTCAGCTCGGTTCTAAAATATAAGCAGCATTGTGTGAACAGCGGTCACCAACTGAGAAGCACTGGCCTGCAGAAAGACATTTAGGATGCATGTCAACTACCAAAGACATTTTATTTTGTAAAATAAGAAACTTCCACTTCTGGAAACTTTGACCTAAGACACATGCAGCAAAGAATGGCTTCCATACGGGGAACCCAGAAATGCTGGGTTCCATTCAGCAGGGCAGCTGAGCCCCAAGATGGTAGCCATGCATCAGGGGAGAGAGAACCAGTTCAGACTGAAGTGAAGGGGAACTGCCATCAGGGTGTTTTTCTGGAGGTGTTAATACTGCCATTGTAGGGCCAATGCCCAGTGGTTCTGCCGCCTGCTTTGCAAGCGCAAGAACCCAAGATTGATCCCTGGTACCATCAAAAAAAAAAAAAAATTACCATTATACACAGGAGAACGCCAAGAAATACTCTTCAGAACTAATGGAAAAGAAATAAAAGTGAAACTCTTTGTAGTGTAGTGTAGAAATAAAAGTGAAACGCCTCACTTTGCAGCCCAGGTTGGCCTCCGTGCAGTGATCTGTTGGGAGCCATTCTACACAATTTTGTGAGGAAAAAATCATTTCACAATTAAATTCTGATTAGGGCTGTCTGAGGCCTCCATGGTCTGTGATGCCGTGACCCTCAAAGACAAGATTACATCAGCTGAACAAACCCTGGTTCTTTGAGAACCCAGCAGTAACAGAGAAAGCCCCCCGCAAAGTTCCTTATCAGCTTAACTCCTCCCACCCACTGTTGTAAGAAAGTCTTTGCTCATCTCCCAGCATAAACTAATCAGCATGCGCCCTTCATCTAAGGTCCTCATTCCCAGCAGATCTTCAGTGTCACAGGATAACTGGTGCCCTGACTCTTCTGAAACTTTCTTAGGTGGTAAATCCTGTCGATTTAGGATTACCGAGGCCCTCTTAGATGAGACATCTGATTCTCCCTATGAACCCAATAAACAGTGGCAAACTCGGAGTGTCTTCGCCTCCTCTGAGGCACTGACACTGCCCCCAACCCTGCTCTGAAACTATGCAAGTCTTTTTCTTTAGCCCTCGCTGACCCCCTTCCTGGACAGTTGAAGGATTGACTGACCTCACTAGTGATCCTTCTGCCTGGTGCTAACCCCACTCAGCCATGGGCTCTGCTGGTGGGACTCTATCCTCTTGCTGGGCACGCACAGAAGACTTTCCCTGGGAATATGCGAAAGCTGCCATCACCTGCGATACCCCTGGCCCTCCTAGGCCCTGCAGGGCAGGCCCGTAACAAAATTGGAAGCATACTGTTCTTTGAAGTTTGCATGTCAGGGCCAGGGATTTGGCTCAGTGGTTCCGCTGCCTGCCTTTCAAGTAAGTGCAAGGTCCCGAGTTCAATCCCAGGTTCAAAAAAAAAAAAATCTTTAGGTGAGTTTGCATGTAAATATACTGGAGTATGAACGTGGTAGGGACAGTAACACAGAGGGCTGTTTTAAGTGATCACGGCTGGCCACACAGGCTGAAGCAGACTCACGCACAGGTGTACGCGTCAGGGGTCCCAGCTTTGGTAGCAGGTCTTAGAGCCCGCGGCGGATGGGGAACAAACACCCGCTGAGAGGGTGACTGGGAAGGATGTGATTCTCATTTGGAGATGGCTGCCACAAGAATGGTGGAAGTTGAGGTGGGCAGGGCAGGAGGTGGGAAGTGGTATTAGGAAAAAAGTATCAAGAGGTTTTGCCCTGGTGTCAGCAGTGGAGAGGAAGCCACAGACACCACCTCCACCAAAAGTCCTCAGGGGCAGTGGTGCCACTCACCTGAGGGAAGAGGACAGGAACAAAGGTGGAAGAAAAACCAGGAATTCCTTTACTACCTTGCTCTCCAACCAAACCTGCTGGAATAGGTCCATCCCCCCAAGTCCTCGCCTGACAGCAACACTTCCTCTCTCCCACCGGCCCTCTGGCAGCTGGGCTCCCAAAGCCACCTCCAAACCCTCCAGCCCCTCTGCTCAGCCCACTCACACTCCAGGTGGGAGAACTTGCTCCTCCAGGTTGCTACCTCTCTGGGAGCGCAATCTCTCCTGCCTTGCATCCAGCTATACAAACGCGTTTCATTTCTCAAGGTGGAAGTGAGCTATTTGGCTCATCGTCTTACAGTACCCAGAACAGCTGCCCCGGAGTTTTATATGTATATAAACAGGGCTCAAAGCTGCAAACATCTCACCTTCCCTGATTTCAGAGCCTTTGTTAAATGCAAAAGGTAAGGTTGCTAGGGTTTCATTAACACACATGTTAAACATTAAAATCTGACGTAACAGTTGAATTTTTTCTACTTATGGTGGCAAGTGAACTTCAGCAAACATACTAAAAACAGTATTACCATTAAATAAGACAAAACTACAACTTAAATCAATAGAAGTTAAATCAATTTATTTTTGGACATTTTACAAGTATAATTTTGGGAGGGCTGTATGACAATTTTCAGCATCAACTGCCCGCTCCACCAACACTGAACAGAAAAGGCATCTCCTCTTGGACCTTTGCATACAGGCCAAGTACCGCACTGCGCGAGGAGTGTGAGATGCAGGTGCAGCCTGGAGGCCGGGACACTGACGTTTAGGGTGCTCCTCTCAACAGCTGCGTAACCCACAAATAATACACACATACGTTCATGGCTACTAGGACCACAAGTATCTGCAGAATAAAACCGACAGGCCTACCTACTTCAGAGGCTAAAACTAACACACATGTTCAAATGGGCGTTTTTATCCGTACAACAACACTCACAAATCCTCTGGTCTGACTTTACGAAGTGCAGGGAACCGGACACAGGGACACAGGGGAGACCGGCAGTGCATGCTGTTAGAGTCAGGACAGTGACGCGTGTTGGTCGTTACTCAGAGCAGGATGATGCTTTAGAGAACTTACAACATCCGAAATCGTGCCTCATGGAAAGGGTGTCAAGAACGGGTGACTCATCCATCAGCCCCCCACACCAGCTAGTAAATGCCGACGGTGGGCTTCAAAGTGCACCAGGATGAGGGGGGTGAGGAGGACGGAGAAGAACGGACAAGAAAAGTGCAGGAAACGTCTGAGTGCTGGGACGTGCTGCGGTAACCACCCAGATGTTCTTACCACAGGTGACCTGCTCCTTACCACCAAACACTGAGCTTGGAACACAGCGTGAGGAGAGACTACATTAGACTGGATAAAACACCACTGTATTTGGGTCAAGTAAGAGTACAAGTCTGGTTTAGTAGAAAGCATCAGTAAATATTTAGAGGTATACTTTTGTTACATCAAGTAAAAAGAACCAAGTCTAACTGTAGATGTAATTAACAAGCAGAGGCCTTCACGGGCCTGTCTTGATCAATGCTTAAAACCTTTTTTTTTTTTAGGTCAGAAGCATAAGATTACTGAGCAACTTGCAGACCACAGACATATTCCTTCCAAGTCATCAGAGCAACACTATTCTAAACTGCCAAGGAAAGATGCAGTCATCAAGAATGAAAGGCTTCTCAAAACTGCACTGTCTAAAGTTGGACCCACTGGACACAGATTGCTAATTTTTCTGAGACTTTGACAGCCAGTTTTCACAAGTATTTATCTCCAACTTCAGTTTATTTTAACCTTAACTTATGGTAAATAGGATGATGATTAAAATGAGCCATTCTCAAAGCACAACTTTGAAATAACAGAAATGGACAGCTAAACTCATTTCATCAAAAATCTTCAAACACTGATCAAGGAGCTTGCAAAAAATATCAGTAATCTGAGCTACGAGGCAGAACAAAAAAATAGAAAACATTAAACTTCTGTATCCCAAGCACCAGTAATGGAGGCTAAGCGATCACACCCACAAATTCTCATCTATAGGGTTCTCTCAATGGAAAATCCTGAGATTTTAAGCACGTGACTACAGAAGGCAGGTTGGTTTAATGAGGAATTTATCTTTAATAAAAAGATAGTCAATACTTTACTTTTGGGCACTTACTCAGTATCTCACAGATCCTCAACAAGTTCTGAGGTAGGTTAAATATTGTATACTATGAAGCAAAACTCCAGCAGATGCCATGAACCGCAGGGATCCTCTCATGGCCAGGAATAACATGGTCTCTCTGCCCATCTTGTCTGAGGTTTGGACTTAATGGTGACAGTTTGCAAATGTTCATGTGAAAACCAAAGACTAAGTACAATAAATGTGACTTTGGGATATTTTAAAATTCTGAAATCAATTGTGTAGGTATACACATTGGGGAATAACCTACCTGTTCTCACTACAAATACATGTGTTTATGTCTCATTGATCCTTAGACTCAGAAAGGAGCACAGTACTGATTTCATTGCTTTCCTGCTTTGGGGGTGGGCAGGGATCGCAAGTGCAGGCGCTGCATCCCAGCAGTATGATCTGGGAGCACAGGAATGCTGTACACAGAGAAGCCCAGACCTAGATAGGATGCCTGGGTACGGAAGGGGTGAGGGGAGGTCTGTATGAGTTGGAGATGAAGATCCAACAGTAGCATCTCCGGCTCCCGACCCCCGTCCTGCCACAGCCTGGAAGCCTGGAAGAGGAGCTGCTCTCAGTGAGGCCCAGTAATGACCTACGGCTTGTGCTGATGAGATAAACCAAAAGAAAATCAAGGTGGTACTCACTGAAGTGGCATCTCAGACACCAGCATCTACATACTTTCACAGCAGTCTTGCCTTCCTGAGACTCGCCCTCATTGCCACAATTCTCCGAGCTTCTTGTAAGTCCTTAAAATCATTTACCAGAATTCATTTCATCCTGACAAAGACTCCTGGGCCAGTCTTCTCAACTATTTGTTTCATTATAAAGTTCCTTTTATTTAAACAATTGTCAAATATTAGTAATAGTACAGAATTGAGTGATCAGTTAACATCTGAGAAATTAGAAGGGAAACACCATTATCGTGTTATAAAACATAGCGTTTAGCACAGCAAATTTAGAGTAAGGGTACAGACACCGGAGCTTTCATGTCCACTGAACAGCCCAATACCATGAGTCAAAGAAGCAGAGAAGAGGGAAAAAGCCAGGGTGGGGAGGGGCGGGGGTCGAAGGCAGAGTGTGAAAGCCTTTTATGCTGTGTCTCCAGAGGAGGTATGGAAGTAAAAGTGCCTACATTTAAAAAGTTTATATAAATCATATGAATTGCAACTTTCAAAAAAGTGAAAAGGAAATGCTCTGCATAGGACAAAGATAAGCCTAAGCCACGTATCGGAGCTGCACAAGGGCACTCAACGTCACAAATGCGAGAAACAAGTGAAGCTTCCTTCTACGGCCCAAGACTGTAAACTGCTCTTGTCACACAAAAGCTGCGAAGACAGGAGTTTTGTGTAGGAACTTTTGTGCTTCAGGTTGGCACGGTGTGTACTCTCTAATATGTGAAACAAAAGCAGACTTTATGAAAGGTTGTGCAAACTACTGTATTTACAGAAATGGCACAAAAGTGAATCCCACGGGCGATGCACATGCCTACTTCACTGACATCTCCGAGGAGGGTGTTCTGATGCTGCAGAGCTGCAAAGGAGCGCAGCCCCCACGGCAGCTGGAAACACTGCGTCACGGAAGCTACACCAGAAGGGCCCATACTGCCCAAGCAGAATGCTACTGTGAAAGCTGAAACAGGTTTAAGGCCATTCAGGTTCATACGAATCCTTCAGAGTTCCCCTCTCTTCGTGTTTGATTATGTGGCCTTTCTTCTAACTTGTGGTCTTAAACTTTTGTTTTACAAAATCCAAAAGGAACTTAAAGAAGAAATCATATAAAAGAGTAATGTTAAAGAGGAGTGACACACAAAGCTATCGCTAAGATGAGGGAAGGGGTCAGAACAGGCTTGTGGAACTTGCTTGTTACCTGCTGGAACCAGCCCTGCTCTGGGGTGAGGTGACATAGACAGTTATTTTCAAGTAGATGGCGTGTGTTGCTCACATGTCCTTCTCACCAGCTCAGTGGTGAGCGAGTCGGAACCTCTACGCGTGTCTGTGCCCTTACCCTGGCAGCACTTACTACTGCTACCTGCAAAGCTGTCGGTCTCGAGCGATTTAGTGAACGAAAGGAAGTAGAAAGCGGGTAAGTCACAGTTAAGGAAGGAGGAATGAAGGGAATGAGAAGATCCATGCAGTTCGGCTCTTTTAAATCAGCCAGCCAGCTTGCTTGTGACAAGGGATGGTTTCCGCTGAGGAAGGTCCTGTGGAGTGGGAATGTGGTCACCAGTGACCTCGGCCTTATCCGGAGTCGCAGCAGGCAGCTGCTTGTTCTTCATCTTTGCCTTGGCCATGTTGTAATCCCCAGAATCAAAGTATTTTTGCTACAAAAACAAAAACAAAAACACCTGCTTAGTTTGAAAGCTTTCATATGCACTGGACTGAATTTAGCTATAGACATGACCGCACACAGCTGGTATCTCATGCATTTGAATAAACAAATTTGAAGAAGAGCACAATCAGTTAAAACAGCCGCATCTCTGTATGACTCCCAACATAAGCTAACAACTGAGGAGGCACGAAGAGCCCTTTTGAGACCTGAAAGATGGACATCATGCTCTCTTGGAGTAAGACGTTGTCACTCAGTAAAATACGAATCTTTCTGGTTACTGACAGAACCACCAGAGCGGATGTGTGATTCACTGTTTTGCATTAAGGACGTGCTAATCACCCCCAACTATTTTAGTTGATGTTACTTTATCATCTAGGATGAGCTTTTCTGCAAGAATTTAAATCATATTTATTCAAAGTAACGCAGTTCAAACAAAAATTAAGTGCAAACATAAACGCTACAGCCACGGAGGAAGTAAACCCACTACAAATTAATCTGCTTAAATGCACAGTTCTCATAAAAACACCGAGTAGGTACAACTGATAAGCATTTTAGTGGGAGGAAGGGAAACGTCACTAAAATATGAATTGTACAAGAACTCCAGACTGACCTTAACATAGGTGATCTAATGAGTTCTCAAGTAAAAAGTGGATGAGTTTGCCCGAGTGCCTGCTGCACTGAGCCGCTGTGTAAGAGCTAGAGAGAAAGATGAGCAGTGGTTACATAAAGGAACGGTTACATCACCACCTGAAGAATACAAGACTAACAAGAAAGGAAAGAAACCACTAAAAACAGAGCCACACTGGATCCAACTATGTGCCACTCCTTGGTTATACCAGGAGTTAAAGTCAGCATACTACAGGGACAGCTGGATACCTGCTTATTCATAATTCGCAAGATATGGAGCCAGCCTAGGTGCCCATCCACAGATGAATGGCTGAAGAAAATGTGGTACAGACACAAGGAAGCATTGTTCAGCTAGAGAAAAATGGAATTCGATCACATACAGGAATATGGATGGGACTGAGGATCCTCAGGCTAAGTGAAATAAACTGAACACAGACAATACTGCATGTTTGCCCTATCATGGGGAACCTGCAAAAGATGCTGTGAAAGTAGGAGGCAGGCTAGCATTAGACAAAGGGAAGGGAAGGGAAGGGAAGGGAGAGTCAGGGAGGGGAATGTGGGATGAAGAAGAGTTATTAGTTATGGAAAGGAGAGACCGCAGTGCTGAGATGGACTCACCACGATGACAAGATGTCCACTGTACTGTCACAAAACAGTACACCTTGTCAATTTTTAATTTTTAAACTGTATTAATATATACAGTATCAAGAAGTTATCTAGAATGGTGTTCATTTGTTTTTTCTCTGGGAGTGAGATGATGAAACTTTTTTAACAGATCGTTATTTGTACTGTTATAAAATGTCTCTAAGTGGAACAAATTATGTGTGTGAGGTGATGGGTGTTTGAGTAGCTTGATTGTAGCAATCACTTTACAACATGTACGTACCTCAAAACACGATGCTGTATGTGTTAAATATATGCTTGCTAACTGTACAATAAAAAGTGAGCTAAAATTTTAAAAAGAGAGAAAAGAATATAAGGTGCTGAGGTGCTTTGCATTGGGGACTGTACCCCTGTCCCAGCTTGGCAGAAGGCAACAGCACTAGGAGGAAATGACAGCTTGAAAGAGCCAGGACAAACAGCCAGGGAGCTGCTACTTCTCTGCCTGTTTTCTGATAAGCCAGATCTGGCCTACAGCCAAATAATCTAAAGTTAGAAAGCGCTTTCCATTAGTCACCCAGGGATCCAAGGAGCAGTCACAAGGAACCCGGGACCAGGCCCGTCCAGGCTTGCTCCAGCTTCCTTTCTGCCCAGCATTTTTAAACGAGCACAGAAAAAAACAAAAAACAAACAAAAAACCCAAAATAAACCCTAAGAACTCTGACACACTGTATACTACAGAGTTGCTGAGAGTTCAGCTGCCTCTAGAGCAGAAGAAAAGGGCCTGGCGACCTTTCTCATCAGAGCCCACAGAGAAACATAATGAAAGCATCGTGCAATTTTAGGCAGGTTCAGGTTTCCCCAGTGTAACCAATGCATCTTCTAAAGTCAACTATGTTATAGGAAGTAGAAGTTCATCAGAAGAGAATCTCATTTAATTGCAGATTAGGCTAGTCTATGGGAAGAAAGAAATTAAATTTACTGAGTGTGGCTAGAGATAAAACTAAAACCAGTGCTTGATAGTGCTAACCTAAAACAGGAACGCTACTGGAAAGGGCAGTGATTCCTCACAGACAGCAGCAAAGACTGACAGCACAAGGGTGTCAGGGAAAGCAGTCACACTTTCTTGTTTAAACAAAACAACAAAAGCCCCCAAAACCTAGGCATTTAAAGCATCACTTTGTTTTTTAAAAAAGATATGCTTTAAGTAGAGGTGAATTAACTATTTTCTCCCAATGGTGTCCACACACAGTCTAAGGGTGACCATTCATTGTCTTTAACAACGTCTAAAGTTTGTGAATTTTTTTCATGGGACCTCACAAACTCCACAAATACAGAAAAACACAGCCAGGCTGCTTCTGTGATCCCTCCCACACTGACAGTCTCCAGGGGCGCTGTGTGCTCAGTCTTGCCTGGCCCGCCCAATGATAACAGAACATAACTCCATCACCCCGCCGAGTACAGTAGCACCAAGGGACCTACGAGAATCCTCCTGGTCCTCAGCATGATAAAGACACTGCTGGAAGATGTTAACTTCCCCAGCTTGCTTAACCAAGCCCAGAGCCTTGTGCCTTGGACTTAAAAACAAACAAAACACCAAAGCTTCGTTTCCCTAGTACAGTATAGGCACAAAAACTACTGAGTGACACTCCAGCACAGTACAGACTCAGAGAGAGAGCTTCTCAGATTCTATGTAATTACCTGAGCCATCTGCCCTTCTCTTGTTATTCAGTGATTCACACCTAGAGCATCAACCCTGAGACACAATGCAGACAAGCATTGATGTGAAGACACAAGGTCAGAGTCGGAGCTGGAGGAAAACGACAGGGACCACGGCCCCTGCCCTGGCAGGAATCCTATCTGCCGCAGCCCTGGCGAAGATGGAAAAGTTCCTAACACTAACGGTGCTGGACAGGCCCACAAAGCAATTCACAAGTGAGGAAGATCACACACAACGCAGCTCACAACTAAAACGTGCCCGGGAGAAGGGTGTCTAACTGCACTTGGTCTTCGTCACACAGCAAGATGCCCTCAATGGGGCGGGCTCGGTGCTTGGTGCTTTCTCCACTTATCCCAGGTTACCATGAAGCAGTCATGGCTTTACGTGACAAAGGGTGCTCTGCTTGGTGGGCTTCTTACAACTATTAACCCCATCTCTGCTGTCCAGCAGTGAAACGCTTCTAACTATAGCCGAAGCTACAAGGCAAAAGCTTCAAACTTGAAGATATATTCGATTATATCCTTAGATTAATCCCTAAGGTTATTTGTTCAAGACATGTGAACATTTTTATGAATCTTGATCGATACCACTTTCCAAAGTAAGACTAATGATTCTGATGTTTACACAAAATAAAGAGCACCCCACCGGGAGACATGGTTTACACATTCTCTAGCTTAGGTGTATGGGTGCTGTGTTAGAATTTACATTTCACTGATTTCTGTCAAGGATAAACACTTCAAGATTTTTTTTTAATATTTAAAAGTTCCTTGTTTTTCAGTAATAATTTCCTCCCTGGATAGTTCATGGTACAAAGATTTTACATTTTTTATATTCAATGTGTTTCCTTAACTTAATATTCGAAGTTAGGAATGTTCTCCTTTCATTCAAGAGCATAAAATACCATTCTATCTTTTGACTCTCTTAAATATAATTTGTTAAAATAGTATTTGGAACTTAGGAACTAGGAAAACAATCCATATGACTATGACACCACACACCCCACAGACATGTTCTCTGTACGCAAACAGCAGATGCTTGCATGTTTAGCATTTACTTAAGGAAAAACCTGATTTGGCATCTCATTCTCCAAAATATAATTATTTCATCCTTGTCTGGTCTCTACCTGGTAATCCAAATGTGTTTAAACTGATGAAGGAACCCCCACTTCTCGCTTTTTTAATAGAATAAAGGAAAGGATTAGAAGAGAAAAGTAGCATCGTCACATTTCTACCTGGCCAAAAGGCAAGATTTTGAAAAATATTTTTTTTTCAGCAATTTATACTACTAAAATTATAATATATAAGTTGCATTGGAGTGAATTTATAGAACACATTAGCTAAAGGAGATAAACTTTTATATGTGATTACTTCATCCAAACAAACAAAGAAAACTATTTTCAGTCTTTGGATGTTGTAGTAATCACCTCTAAAACAGAAGAAGTTTAAAACGATAGGCAGCAGGCTAGACACCAACTTCTCAATAGCACCTGCTTTGGAGAAAAAAAGGATATAAGCCAAACACAGGGTAAGTTTCACCATATCTATATTTGTTTTCTTACAAAGAGAAAACTAAAGTGAGCATGACAAAATATCAACATATTAACCCTAGGTGCTGGGTACACAGTTATCATCTGCACTATGGTGCATGCTTGAAATAATCTGTAACTCAAAACATTAGTGCTCTAGATTCTTTCCATAGTATCTATGGTATGGTATGAACAGTGTAAAATATTAAAGAAAATGCCACAAACACACAAATGGTGAGTAGAGAGCTAAATACACAGACACCTCCCCATCTCTGCTGGCACAATGGGTCCTACAGAGGCTTACCCCTTTCTGCAAGCGTTTCCTTAAAAAATCGGAACCTCCAGGCTTCTGTCCCAGGTGAGGATACCTTGCTTTTAGTTTTGCTTCTTCAGCTTTCTCTGGACTGGTCACTTTATCTTCCATTTCCTGAAATAATATTAAAGAAATTACTTCTCTATTATATGCAGGTTTAAAACAATTCACCTTTTAATATCTGGATTCTGACTTGAGCTGTGAATGCTAGGTAACAGCCTCTGACTAAGAAACAGGCATAGCATAGCAGCCCTTAAGACGGCTCAGTCTTGTTTTTCAGATGTTCCATGTGAGAGCTCGATTATAGCTGTGATGCATGTGTAACACCCCACACACTGGATAAAAATACCAAGACAGCTCAGCTCTGAAGCCTTGCCTGCCATTACTTTCCAGTCATGTAGAATACATTTATAGTTAGTTACCTTCTATGGAACTCTTTAGCTCTTTGTCTATATTTAGAGAATTATCTGTTCAAACCTAAAAGATCTTTCTGGTTTTCTATTTACTGAAAATTATGTATAATCTTGAAGTTCTTTAGATTCTTTACTGCCGGTTAACAGCAGCCTATGATCATTTTTTCCTGAATTAATATCTGAAAAGAAGGCAAGCATATCCATCAAGCCTCACATATCTACCTGTTTTACTGCATGACTTCATCCACATTCAAGATGACAAAAGTGCCATCCTTAATGTATTAAATCTGCTTTCTGACAAAACTGCCAGGGTCTTAAGCCTATATATCTTTAACCAGAGTCTTGATTTAGTCGACATTTTGACAGAGACTATTTTTTCCAGGGAGGAAACATGAATGGAGAAGCACAATATTGTCTGTGACTCCTGGCAGGTGGTGCCCAGTGAGGCTTGCTGGCTAACAAGCAGGCTCCTTTCTGCATACCTGACTCTTCCCCGTGATTTATGAACTATCAAACACAGGAATGTTGGAGAGTTGGTGCCCTTACACTGGAATATAGTAGCGCAAGGAGGAGGAGGAGGAGGGAAGTGGGTCCTTGGGACCCAGGAAAGATGAGGCAAGAACTGAAGTTTACAGGGAGAGTGAAGAGACTGCAACAAAGAGGGAGGTACCAAGCAGCACTCTCTCCCAGAGCACAGACTTTCTGCAAGGGAACAGTGGGTGAAACTGCAGACACACAGCGACTACTGATGACCCCACAGGCCCCACAGGCCCCCACAGACAAATGCACCAGTGGAACAGAGCAGTGGATGAACCAGACTGCAGCAGCTGGTGAGTTATCTGGATTCAGACTTCACCCAGGACAGGGCTGATTGGCTAGTAGCCATCTTGGAGAGGGGCCAACTGAGCTGAGAACTCAGAACAGCTGCAAGCAGACTCCATCTTGTGGCTTCCAGTGCTTCATAGTGGGTGCTGAGTTTAAGTCAGCAGGAGGTCAGGAAGTGGAGTTCAAGCCAGCAAACGACAATATAGACTGCTGTAGGCTCAAAGAATCCAGTTCCAGCCTCACAGGCAGAAACCAGACTGAACTTCAGAGGAACTAAAGAAGCAGGCTAGCTGGTATGATGTACTATCCCACGTGAGGCAGCAGCTAGCTTGGTGGGATTAATCAGTTTGGCTCTGGATTCTGTTTGCCCACACTGCCTAACAACAGAGACACACCCCAAACTGAAAGTTTGGGATTTTAAATCTTTTCTCTTTTTCTGTTTTCCCTCCTTTCTAGTTCTTATTTGGTTTTGTCTTTTTCTCCATTGTTTGAACACGGCTTCTAGTTTTTTTGTTGTTGTTGGTCTGGTCTGGTCTGTTCTTGTTTTTATTTTTTTCTTTTCTCTTTCCCACCTGTCTGCTTCACCTGTTTCCTAAAGTCTGTCCTCCAGCTTTACTTCTGACCTCTTTCCCGTCTATTTGTTTTTTACCCCTTAACCCCTCTTAAATCTTCTCCCCTAAACTGGGCATGGTGGCGCATGCCTGTAATTGCAGCACTTGGGAGGCTGAGGCAGAAGGAGCACTCACTGTGAGTTTGAGACCAGCCTGGGCTACATAGTGAGTTCCAGGTTCAGTCTCAACTACATAGTGAGACCCTGTCTCAAAAAACAAAAAACAAAACAAAACAAAAAAAACAACAACATCAAAAAAACACTTCTAGCTGGGTGTGGTGGTGCACGCCTTTAATCCCAGCACTTGGGAGGCTGAGACAGGAGGATCGCTGTGAATTTCAGACCAGCCTGGGCTACATAGTGAGTTCCAGGTCATACTCAACAACAGTCTCAAAAAAAAAAAACCAAAACAAAAAAAAAACAAAAAACAAAAAACAAAAACAAACAACAAAAAAAAAACCAAAACCAAAACCATATCCAAACCAAACCAAACCAAATACTTCTCCCCTATGGGTAAAAAAGCCTTATTAGGGGCTACAATTTGTAATTTTTTGGGCTGTATTTGATTCTACTGTTATTGTTGATTGTACTACTTCAGCAAAGGTGACATAAATGTGCATAACTGATATACAAAGATTGAGATTGCCTAAAGGTCTAACAAAACAAACAAACAAACAAACAAACAAACAAAACCCTACAGGCCAGTGCCAAAAGATTGGCAGCTGGGCCAAATATGCAGAAACTTCTTATTCCCAATAAATTGAAGAGGCAGGATACTGCAACAGACTCAAAACCCAAAAGCTAGCCTCACCCGGAAGACACTTCTGAGAAGTAGTCATTTCCTAAGGGGTTGAAGACTGGCAATAAAGCTAGTCACTATAAGCAATTTACAACTTAGGGATGGAAAGAGAGAGAGAGAGAGAGAGAGAGAGAGAGGGAGAGAGAGAGAGAATGACATTTAAACAAAATGCAACTCTCAGCCTTTCAACTCACCAAAGGCAACCTGGGGGCAATGAAGTGGAACAATCTGAAAGCCACCCACCTGGACCTTCAGAAGTAACAGCATAAGTAACAAAGCAGAGGAACAAGGCTCTAGGAGAGAAAAAAAAATCAAAGCAGAAATAATTTCACAAGTAACCACAGAGGTGTTGACACAGATGAAAGACACAGATTTAAAGAAAAACAGAGGAGCTCAAAACGTGATAGGAACCATGAAAGCCCAGCATAGAAAAGAAATGGAATCCATAAAACAGATTCAAGCAGATATTCAGATTAAAAACTCCACTGAAAATATACACAGCAGAATTAGCCAACGTGAGGACAGAGTATCAGTTACAGAAGACAGGACTGAGGTTTGTGATCAGGAAAATAAATTTCTTAAAAATAGCAAGGGGCCATGAGAAATCGATCCATCTGGTAGATGATGCAAAGAAGAATAACATAAAATTGACTGGAGTCAATGTAAAAGCAGGAGATAGTGCAAATGATATAAAAAACCTGTTCTCAGAAATAAAGGCAGAAAACTTCCCAAACAGAGAAAAAGAATTTGACATACAGATAATTGCAGCATATAGGACTTCAATTAGCCATGACACACGCGCGCACACACACACACACACACACACACACACACACACACACACACAACTTCCCTAAGGCATGTAATAGTCAAGATCTTGGAAATTCAACCCAAGGACAGAATATTAAAAGTTGTTAGGGGGCTAGGGATGTAGCTCAGTGATGCCACACCTGCCTGGCAAGCACAAGGTCTTGAGTTCAATACCCTGTACTCCAGCCCCCCAGAGCTGTTAGAGAAAAGAAACAAATCCCTTATAAAGGAAAGCCCATCAGAATCACAGCAGCCTTCCCAACACAAACTCTCAAGCCAAGGAGAGCTGTGAGTGAAGTATTTCAAGGCCTCAAGGAAAACAGCCTCCAACCCAGATGAATGTACCCTGCAAAACTATCCTTCAAAATTGATGGAGAAATAAGATACTTCCATGACAAAGAACACCTGAAGAAATTCAAGACCACAAAACCAGCACTCCAAAGTGTTCTGAAGTATATTCTAGGAAGAGACAAAGATTACAACTCCATGAACCCCAACAGAGTGAATCCACCACGCAAGACAGGCTATTAGAAAGAAAAGGAAAGAAGAAAGCCAACAGCAGGAAAATAATATAACAGAGATAAGACAATACATGTCATTTATAACCATCAATGTTAATGGTCTCAATTCACCAATCAAAAGAAACAGACTCGCAGAATGGATCAAGAAGCAAGATCCAACAATATCTTGCATATAAGAAACACATTTAATTGAAAAATTCACAGGCTGGAAGTCAAGGGATAGAAAACAATATTTCATGTGACAGGAAGTGGAAAAAAGCAGGGGTAGCTATTCTATTTTCAGGCAATGTGGATTTCAAGCCAAGAATGATTAAGAGAGACAAAGAAGGTCACTACATCCTGGTAAAGGGAACAATCCAAGGGGAAGAGATAACAATCCTAGATATATATGCACCAAATAACAGCATATCCAGCTATATAAAACAAATACTAACAGACATGAAAAATCATATAAGCACTAATACAATTGTAATGGGGGACCTCAATACCCCACAGTTACATATAGACAGATTAGACAAAAAAAAAATCAACAATGAAATATTAGAATTGAATCAAACTTCTGAACAAATGGACTTAGATGTCTACAAAGCGTTCCACCCCTTAACATCAATACACATTCTTCTCAGCTACACATGGGACTTTTTCTAAAATAGACTCTATACTAGCTCATAGAACATACTTAAACAAATGCAGTGGAACTAAAATAATCCCATGCATATTATTAGACCATAGTGCAATGAAATTTGAAATCACCTGCAAAAAAAAACCAAAAAACAAAAAAAACCCTCAAGAATTTCATGAACATATGGAAATTAAATAACACCCTCCTAACCAACGAATGGGTTAACAGATATTAAAAAAGAAATCAGATAATTTCTATAATTAAAAGATAATGACATACAAAATACCAGAACTTATGGGACACAATGAAAGCAGTCCTAACAAAGGAAATTTATAGCAGTGAATTCCCATACCTGGAAAAGAGTGGGCTCAAATAAACAACCTAATGTTGAACCTCAGGCTTCTAGAAAAAGAAGAGCCAGTCAAGCGCAAAGCTCGTATTAGGAATTATAAATGTCAGAGCAGAAATTAATGCAATGGAGACTAAGAAAACAATATAAAGAATCAGTAAGACT